AGGTCAAGTTGGCATGCTCGTAAACTAAAATAACCCTCTCACAGCATACTGCATGGCATGTTACATTGTACACCTGTTTTTATTCGTCCAGTTGCAGCAGAGAAGTAGGAAGTTACACCATAATTCATTCATTCATACATGCACTCTATACATGTATGTATATAAACATTCATATTATACAAATGTATTTATTTTTACGAGCACTATACATGTATACATGTAGTAGTCATTGTATAGCTGAATAAAACATTTAATAAAAGAATAAAATGTTAATATCCTTGAATGACATTTACAAGTCTGAAGTAAAAAGGTGAAACATTCATAATTTACATGTACATAGTAACAACTTCATGTATTTGCTACTTGTTGGTTTATTGAAATGAAATGAAATGAATGGGGTTTAACGTCCTACTGTTCTACTCCGAAATGGGCTATTAAAGATGGGCATACGCCATTAGTGTGCTATGAAGGAAATTTTCCCCGGGCAGCAGCCCTATGGCCTAATCTTATATCGAATTCTAACTGCCAAGGGATCTTTTATGTGCACGCCAATGTTAAAACGACTAGGTGGCTGTTCTTGTCAAGGGGAAACCCCGTCGGAAAATCCTGATGAACTTTCTCGACCAATGAAGGGATCAAACATGCGACCTCCAGGCTAGCGAACCAGTGTCTTACCCACTTAGCCACCGTGGCTCCATTGTTGGTTTCATTACCTATCAAGTAATGATCAATAATGAATCCAACCATTTGGTGAGTAAAACAAATCATACAATTAAAACAGTTAAGAGAGAGAGAGAGATGGTGTTTAATGTCCATGTGACACAAACTAGGTCATTTTAGGACTAACATATGGTTCAATTTTATTTCAATAATTCGCTTGCGCGTTAGGGTCTTTAGCAGTGGGAGGAAACTGGAGGACCCAGAGAAAACCCACAAGGTTGGACAGGTGACCCTACTTCTTGTCATGTACAACCGGGGTATCGACTCAATGAGTCGACCTTAAGATACAAGGTGCACACGCTAACCAATCGTCCATCCACGGCCCCAAAACAGTTAAGACTAAATCATATAAACGTTGAATGTCCATGTATATCAGGGTCGGACTAAAGGGATTGCAGACAGGGCTACCGCAGGAGGACCCAATGATAAAGGGGCCCCAAACTACTTCTAATAAAATCTTAATATAAAACTTTTAATTATATTTTTATATTATTTAGTATATGTTTGTGCCAAATAAATTAATCTTTCTACCATACTGACATAAAAATTGCATTTATTTAAGTGTGACCAAAATATGCTCATTTGTGTGAGTGTGACGAACAATGACCAGAATAAGCTGTTTTTTCACTGTTGATGCAAGCTCCCCAGTGATATTTTCCGCCAGCTTAATCCTGCCCTGATGTACGTCTAACTGTACTGAACTAAAAAGTAGTAAATCCATAAACTTGTATTATTATCAATGAAAATGATTTATTTCTGTTGACATCTTGATTTGTTTATCAGCTAATAAATGGTAGCCATGGAATTAACCATGACCTTGAACTGGACCCTGACCTGTACTGTATAATGAAGGCCCACTCAAGCCAATACAATAACAATCAACCAACCTCCACAAATATTCTCAACAAAACATATGTAGAGCACAAACAACTTCAAGAAGCAATTAGTGTTATTCTTTTATAGAAACAAACCACCTCCAACCTTTACATGCAGTTAAAACATGCCATACACATGTACATGTTATGCAAGGACTGTTGTTAAGAGTTTCTAAATTAACTTGCATATTCAATAATTACCATGTAGTACGATTAAAATCAGATTATGACTACAGATTACTCTAAATTGCATAAATGCCATATGCAAGGACTGTTGTTATGAATTTCTAAATTAACATGCATTCATTCAATAATTACATGTGGTATGATTAAAATCAGATTATGACTACAGATTACTCTAAATTGCATAAATGTATAATGTAAATACAGTCTCATTACCACTTTAAACAAGATAATTCTAAACACAATAATCATACCATCATTTAGAGAGAGAGAGAGATACAGCTGTAGGGTTAAACGTCCACTCCACACAAACTATAACTACATGTATGTCATCTTGGGACTAACATATCGTTTAATTTTATTTTAACAATTTGCTTGCGCATATAGGTCTTTCGCAGCATGAGGAAACCGGAGGGCCTGGAGAAAAACCACGAGGTTGGACAGGCGACCCTACTCCTTGTCACGTACAACTGGGGATTCGAAACCACGCCAGTTGACTCAATGACAAAACTTAAGATGCTAACCATTCGAACATCCACCTTCACCTCCCACCCCCCAATCATTTAGAGGGGAGGAATAATTGTTGAAATGTCACTCTGAATAAATTCATGTTTGTTATCCATACAATTGAGGATTGTATTAATCTATTCACATAAAAATTTTTCTAGTGACTCACCCAATGTACATGTACATGTAGTCTGTTCTCAAGGCCGATGTTACATACATAGATACGATAATTCATGATTACAAACTGTCAAACGGTGGGGTTTAACATCCCACTTTTCTGCACTGACTGGGCTACTAGCGACAGAGAGAGAGAGAGAAATGGGGTTTAACGTCCACTCGACACAAACTAGATCATTTCGGGACGAAGATATGGTTTAATTTTATTTCAATAATTCGCTTGCACGTAGGGGTCTTTAGCAGTGGGAGGAAACCGGAGGACCCGGAGAAAATCCACGAGGTTGGACAGGCGACTCTACTCCTTGTCACGTACAACCGGGGATTCGAAACCACGCCAGTCGACTCAATCACAGACTTTATGATACAGCGCGCGCGCACGCTAACCATTCAGCCATCCAACCCCCCTTACTAGCGACAGACATACACCATAATTATGTACATACAATGTAGTAGTAACAGTGGGGTGCTATAATTTAATTTGCCCTGACACTTCGAACAGCGGCACTACGACCCATTCTTATTTTGAATTCCATATGTCAAGGGTTCTATCATGTGCACATTTTGGGGGTACATGTACTTGATTGAACGTTCAGGGAATTGAATTCTTTTAATCCCAAAATTAGTGACATGCGTTGACTGAATAAGTAAATATCTCAACCAACCAAAACATATTCGTTCTGTTTAATTACGTCACTATTTCTACTCACACCACCTCCATAGTCTGGACTGACAGAACTGTGACAGGACTGAATTCCACGTCACTCGATTGCAATTCTATTAATTCGGGATGTTCTGGACTGTGAATCAAGCATCGCCATTTTAAATCATACTTAATTACACATTAGTAGGTCTGTTGGGTATTTTTTATGTACAGTATCTTGGAAAATTGATTTTTTTAAATTAAAAAAAAGAATAATACATTCAGCAGAGTACGGTACATTAACTTATTTAATCCCTAGGACATGTATATTGATTTCATCAATCAATGTGGTATCTAAATATATTAATATGATTGATGTGTTATTCTTGTTTTAAAAGATGCATTGCATAAGAGTTAGATAAAAGAGCTGGCAGTTCTTGCTATTTTAGTTTTTAAAGATGATTTATGTAAGATTTAGATAAAGAGCTACATGATACACATGTAGTTCAAAAATAGATGATGAAAAAAAAACCAATCTGATTAAAATACAGATCTATATTTCGTTTCGTTTTTTTTATACTTTCGATGGTCTTTACTAGTACTACATGAAGATCTGACCGGTTGTTGTGGAAGTAAATGCGTTGAGTCGCTACTCAGTTTGGATAAAAAACCGTCTCATAATATATGTACTGCCCCAACAGTATGGAACAAACTTCCATATACAAGTACAAGTAAAACAAAATGCAGAAAATCCTAATAATGTACATGTATTTTTGTACATTTTATCCTGTGTGATATGTCCTATTGAATTCGTAGTGAAACCAGTGCCACTCAGCAACTAAATGTACACTAGCTGGAGTGTGTACTTAACAAATATATTCAATTATTATTACACTAGAGGATAACCTGGTGCTGCCTGTAACTCCAAAACCATAAGGCCAGCGCCACCTAGTCTATGTTATTCCCCAGTCCAAGCTACCCCTATACACCAAATTTAAGCCTCTGGACAGCCCTTAGTGTAGCCGCCAACCCTGAACAGACAAACGACAGTCACAAATACATGTATATATATATGTAAGTATACATGTAGATACACGTATATTGGATTCTTTATCCAAAGAAGTCCCTTTTCCCTTTAACGTAAAATAATCCAGAAAATATTTTAATGAAGCCTTTTGATTGGTCAGAAGTAAATCCTGATACAAATATTAGCGCCCAGTCCCAGCCAATTATAAAGGCTGTATTAATGAACTACATGCATTTATAATTAATATAATATGTACATGTAAGAGATAAAGAGTGGCTATGAAGACCTAGTTATCCCCGACGTCAGCGACTAGTTTCGTTGGTATTGAAATCTTCAAACTGATTGGACTCACATGGTGGGGTTCTTTTATTTATACTAGGGTTTCCATGGTTACTAATTGGCGGGGTTCCCGGGGTTGGCTTACTACTTTATAGAATCAACGACAAATCTAAACTTGGGCACCCCAACCATTTTCATTTTTGTTATACAATACAGGTATTTTACTTTCAATTTTGAAAATAAGGACCCACCATCTTTAAAGACAAGTTTTTTTTTATTAAAGATGGGTAGCACGATTTACCTCAATCCACCAAAATCTTGGAAATTGTATTTTAAGAGTCATTTTGACACAAAAAAGCTTTGTTTTATTTTAAATCGAATGACAGTGGCATAAAGAACAGTAAACTACATGTATCAAAAATTGATAAATTGTAATACATGTACGTTGAAAATTGAAATAATTAGAGAGGGTTTATTGTCCATTTAACCCTGCTTGAGTTGAATCATTGAAAACTGAAATAATCGTGGATTTAGGTAAATCATGCTACCGTGAAATATTTACAGGTAAAATGTACTTATAAATACACTGTACCTGAAATCCTTCATCGTTAGTGACGATGGGAAATACTGTACAAACGATGACAACTGAGATTTCTTCATAAACTCCAAAAACAATTGATGATCTAAATTATCAGACGATGATCTCCCTAACGATCGACTAAGAGAACTTTTCCTCCGAGGGTAAAGAGCTCTATCAACCGATGTTACGATACGTAATTGTTTGTTTACTGGCAAATGTGGTTCAGGAAAATGGAGTTCTGTCATATCATCGCTGAATTCTATACTCTCGCGTAATTTAGAGTCACTCATACTTCCATCATCACTCAAGTCTTCTAATCGTAAACTTGTTGACGTGCTGCATGGAGAAAACTCAGACGAAGATAAGGACATATCTTCGACGTCATCAAACGCATTTTCTCGCATCAAACTGCTTCTATGGCTGACAGGAGTTTGTTCTGATGAGGAATTTTTATCTTGTTTACCCTTAGGCGTTGACGATGAGTATCTGTGCTCCCCCTCATTGGGTGGGGAAGGGGATAAATTAGTCTCATCCATTTCGCTTAGCGTCTCAGAACTAAGGTTAAACTTGATTGGACGATCATCACTTTTGCTCTTCGTAAATCGTGTTACTGACATTTGTGCGGCATCCGTTGGTCGAAATTCACTTCCACAAACAGCTAATTTTCTAGACGGCGTGTGAGCTTTTACAATTCGCCGTGGCGAAACAAGCTTTTCCAATAATTTGGTTTCGGATTTTGTGGGTGCCAAGGTCTTTTTGGGTTCAGTTTTAAATGAAGAACAACACGGTCCTTCAATTTCAGATGGAGATTTTATTGTCATGGGAAAATTCGAAGCATCAATCTCTTTCTTTAATTCGATTTTGATTTCCGATACACTAACTGGTTGACTAGACTGATCGATTTTAGACGTAGTCTTAGATTTGCCAGTCACCTGTTTCTCTTCAGCTTCACTAGGTTCTGTAGCTTGCTTAATATCTGGAGGGGTGTCCGGCGTACGGAGACGTTTACTCGAACTTTTCTTCCTTGTAGCCTGTTGAAACTTTTCACTAAGCGATTTCCTTGGAGTTGCCATCTTTTGTTCCTATTAAGATTACTGACAACAAACTATGAAATATTATTTACATTTCTGAGACACAAGAAGATTTCACTATTATTTTAAATTTCATATTTATTATGCTTGAATTCATAATTTATATTTGAAATATCGCACATCTACCGATATCTCTGGGGGCCAAGGTTGACCGATTATTCCAGACAACACATGTAATATTTACATAATATTGATAGTCAGCAGATCAATACAAAAACAGAGAACAGGCTTTACCGTTACGGCATTCCACACAAAACACTTATACACCCTCTATTAACTAACATAATCATTTTTTAAATTACGGAAATCTTGTACACAGTTTTTCCATGGTAATCAAATCAATGAAAGTTCATAATAATAAAGATGGTCACAAAAATATTACAATTACACATGAAAAGTTTTGGCATACTGAGTCGCAAGCAAGTAAAAAAAAAAGAACTTTGTTTGTCGAAAATCAAAACAAGTTTATTTTCCTGAAATATCACACGCCGAAATCAATCCACTCCTTATAAAACTATTCCACATCCTCTGACGTACATAACTATTACAAATTTCAGGAAACACCACCATTAAACCAACCTACATGACTCAAATCCGTAATCTTAACAACAATCAAACCCGAAAAGTTACAACTCCATGTGGCGGAAAAAGTGTTTTGTTATGACGGCCATTTTTATCCGACAATTCCACGCGACAAGTAGATTGCCCTTCTTGTTGAAGAAATTTGCGTCTCGGCTATTTATTGCCATTTCCTGCTACAGCGGTTTGATATCTAGCTTCCCTCATTTCCACCTAAGAGTGGACTCTTTTGGCACTAAGGCTTTGTGGTTTAGTCCATTTGGTGCTCTTCATTCAGTTTGGAGATCGAGTTTCTGACCCCATTCAACACAACTGAGCCAGTTTTCGTGGAATTGTGGGAACAACATAAGAGCTATTAAAAACTTCCGGGTCACGAATTATTGTATACGGTCAAAGCATGGACCTACGTTATGTGGCTAGTCAAAGCAATCTCAACCTTTTAGTGAGGCGATGCCAATTTATTTATTTTCTCCCAACATTTTATTTTATTGAATATACATGGATTTAAATGAAATATTGAAGAATAACATTTTCGAATTTTTAATATAGCCCACTGACTGAAGTTTAAAGGGCGCTTGGCTATTATTTTTTTTTTGGGGGGGGGGGGGGGGCGAATGTTTAGCGCGTGCGCGCTGTATAGCATAAGGTCTGTCATTGAGTCAAGTGGCGTGGTTTCGATTCCCTGGTTGTACGTGACAAGGAGTAGGGTCGCCTGCCCGACCGCGTGGGTTTTCTCCGGGTTCTCCGGTTTCGTCCCACTGCTAAAGACCCCTACGCGTAAGCGAATTATTGAAATAAAATTAAACCATATGTTAGTCCCGAAATGTCCTAGTTTGTGTCGAGTGGATGTTAAACCCCTCTCTCAGTCTCTCTCTCTCTCACTCTCTTGAAAAGGGGAGGAGTGCAATGTAGATTTTTGCGGAGCTCAGTAAGAAAAAAAAATATTTATGATTTTTCCGAGGAAAAAAACAATTAAAGTGGATCAAAAAGTGCTATTTGTTACATGTTACATTTAAACAGTTTGTGACATTCTTCTGTAAGTGGGGGGTTGGATGGCCGAATGGTTAGCACGTGCGCGCTGTATCATAAGGCCTGTCATTGAGTCAACTGGCGTGGTTTCGAATCCCCGGTTGTACGTGACAAGGAGTAGAGTCGTCTGTCCAACCTCGTGGGTTTTCTCTGGGTCCTCCGGATTCCTCCCACTGCTAAAGACCCCTATATACGCGCAATCGAATTATTGAAATAAAATTAAACCATATGTTAGTCCCAAAATGACCTAGTTTGTGTCGAGTGGCCGTTAAACCCATCTCGTTCTTCGAGTCCCTTGTTACAAATGGCGCTGAAATGCATTATGGTATACGATTCGTGTACCAATGGTAAAATGTTTATTTTGTTTTAAATATTGGATATCAGAAGCCCATCTTTTCCCGGTAAGATCACAACATCAATGTTGATTTAAATTGACAAATAATTTTTGTTTTCAATGTCGAAGACTTTGGATGATATTGAGTTAGAGACTTAGCCACTTTAACCTACACAACGTATTGATTGCACATAATTTATGGACCAAAAAAACCTCCTCTCAACGCTCGTAAATGGATTTGATTGTGAATTTAAAAAACAACAAGAATCAATGCCTGGTTTAGTTTCTTGGATACTGGTCTAATGCTAGCTGTTCCCACTGTCGTGCGATGCGTTAGGATATGATTGGTCGCATTATTTCTGTTACGTCTTTTTTGTATTCCTGATTGTTTTCAAATTTGAGTGAAGTCAGTGTCACTACAGGCCCGGGACTGTACAGCGCAGTGGACGCTTACGACTGCCCCCCGGATCCATTCACTTGATTTGAAATTTTGTTTATTTGGCGCAATGTCTATTTTCTGTCTTGTCCGCAGGTTTATCTTGTAGAATTTTGTTTTACCTGTAGTGCGGTCCCCCTGCACTTATTATTTGAGTCCACGAGCTGGTACGTGCATGCATGCAGATACGTTCGGATACGTCCCGGTACGATCAACAAGATTGCTACGACTAACCTCAATATATGATAAGACCTGGCAGGATCACCACGATCACTCCACGATTAAAACCACGATTTCAATCGCAGCACGAATTGTGATAGTGGGAACCCAACTTTACACTTTTGGGTCCGTCATGTCTGTACCCAATATTTTTCGGTCAAATTTAAGACCCATATTTTTGGGGTCGAAATTGAGGTGGGTCGATCTTCATAGGTGACATTTTCGTTTCAAGAAATGCAAAATGTAATACGCGGCCTTGGGATGTACAGGCATTTTAAGGGTTGAATCACAAGACTGCAATAGAAAAAAGCTAGAGAAAGACTTTTAGTTTCAATATGTGAAAATAATGTAACTATGCACAGAGAATATAATCCTTGATTGGCATTTAGTGATTGAGCACATTAAAAAAAACACAACACAATTTAAATAGAATACAATCACTGGTTGCCACGGTGGCTAGATGGTTAAGACGCTGGCTCGCTAGCCTGGAGGTCGGGTGTTCGATCCCTGCATTGGCCGAGAAAATTCATCCGGACATATAGCACGACGTTTCGACACGTATTCTCTTATTGTTATCAAGTACTTGTCGAAACGTCGTGATTGTATTCCATATAAATTGTGTTGTGTGGGGTTTTTTTATGTACAGAGAAGAATAAAAAAAAAACTCGTAAACAGAGTTGATTGTTAATTTAAAAAAGAACCAGGAACCAATGCCTCGTTTAGTTTCATGGATTCTGGTCTAGAAGAAGGAGGTCGGATCTCTAGGGATATTGGTGGTAATCTGTTAGTTTTTTTTGTTGCAATATTGGAGCTGGTGATGATCGATTGAATAACGTGGATGAAATAAACACCGTCTTAGTTTTAAACACTATTTATATGTTTTCCAATCGCCATTTATATATAGTCTGATGAGATATTATCTCGCCGATGTCATGGTAACCTAACAATATCGTCCAGTCTATATTGGAATTTCAAGTAAATAATGAAATTCCCTGGCAGAATACTCAAATGGTGTTCTTGGCGTTCATATCAACACTTTCAGTATATACAGACAGCCATAATTGTACCATCACGGGAATTAATGAAACCGTCTGAGGGTCTCACGGCTGATTTGTGAGTTCTATGGAGCGGTTACAGATAAATCAATGATTTATTTGGTCTAGGCCAAACATTTAAGTTGATTTACTTTATTTATCTTGTGATGTGTTGAAAATGACTTTCCTTCCGCCATTTCTGAAAATAGATCTTGTATCCACTGCATCGCTACATTCTGAGCGAAATTATGAATGTTTGGAATAGAGGGTAAATACTGTCGATTGTCAAGTGCCGTTGATGCGACAATAATCAGTCTCGATTTTCCGTTTTAACGTTAAACTATCAAATGACGTAGTGGGTGTTCTAATCCACTTAATATCTCAGTCAATCGATGGTCTAGAGCGTTGATTACCTGGGCGTGTCCATAGGTATAGGTTTAGCTCTTACAGAGAGCGAAATGGGGTTTAACGCCCACTCGAAACAAACTAGGTAATTTCGGGACTAACATATGGTTCAGTTTTTATTCCAATAATTCGCTTGCGCGTAAGGGTCTTTGGCAGAGGAAGGAAACCGGATAGCTCTTACATAACGCATCTTTAATAATTATTGGGTACTGTTGAAAGGAGATAAAATAGGGTCCATGTGAACAGGGGCTATTAAAGATACATTAGTCAAGAGTTTTATAAAGAGTTGGCCATTAATTCCTGCTATAATAATTTAAAAAAAAGGTGATAAAAAAAAAAAAAAAATGTTGAAAATTTCAGTCAAATTACTTTGTTATGAACGGTATTGGCACCGTATATGAGAATTGGCGGTCGTTTGATTGACAGATGATAACTCTATCCACATATTCTCGATTATCAAGTAACATACTCAATGGCTATCGTAGTCTCGCTTGGCGGGCCTTTCATCACCAGTTTACGATAGTGACATCAGCGACTAACGGTAAACGTTAGCTTAGTCCGCCATTTATTGATTTCATTTTAAATGTACGACTGTTTAAATCCAAACTGTTGATTTTGAGCTTGTCGTGTAAATAAAGGTCTAATTAATAATTTCTATAACATCTGAAGCCTAAATAAAGACCTGCAATCGGCAGATTTAGCTCTTGCATAATGTATGTTTAAATTAGATATACCAAGTATCACGAACAATAATAATACATCAAGCACCACGAGCAATACATTGAAATGTGTTACATAAACAGACTTCTCTCACTAATTTCTGAATCACAACGTTTATCAAACATTCTATAGACTAGCAAACAATGACATAATGTTACTGTAGAGTTTAACAGGACTGGGGGGAGGGAGGGCATGCGCCGGAATATACCCCGATTTCACTGTTGAGGCAAGGGGAGAGAGAGAGAGAGAGAAATGGGGTTTAACGTCCACTCGACACAAACTAGGTCATTTTGGGACTAACATATGGTTCAATTTTATTTCAATAATTCGCTTGCGCGTTGGGGACTTTAGCAGTGGGAGGATCCGAAGTAAACCCATGAGGTTGGGCAGGCGACCCTACTCCTTGTCACGTACAACCGGGGAATCGAAACCACGCCAGTTGACTCAATTCGACCATCCAACCCCGCGATTGAGGCAAGGACCCCAGTTACATTATTCAGCCAGGAGCTCCATGCATGCTTACTCCGACCCTGTAAACAGGCACTACCATATAACCCGGTTGTAACCTACAGTGTGACAAACTAAGGGTTGTATGACTCTGGGTTCAAGATCTGTTCATCAGTGACTTCACTGAAATATACACTGACGTCATTATGATCATAGAAATATAGAAATAGTCTATAATATTTCCATGATAATCAAATACTACGTCATGTGAAATGTCTTGCTTCAGGGATGTGAGAACTTTATCAATACAATATGTCTTAATAAGCTTTGATAATGATACACTACAGCCAACTAGAGTTCAGTTGATTTAATTGTGAATGTCTGTGAGGTTTTTTTATAGTGTGGTTGATATAAATTTTATAAATGAGTCGACAACATGCCGCAAGAGACGATCAATTATGTACAGTGAAATACCAATCTGATTAAAACACAGATTCTATTTCGTTTCGTTTTTTTAGTTCAAAATTTCGTTTTACTTGTCTTTACTACACTAGGATCTGGAAGACTTGTTATCATTGACGTGTTCTGAATAGTGTGAGGTATTAGCCAATGAAACGGTACGTTACGGCGTGCTTTAGGCGTGTTTTGCACGGAACTGTGGATAATCCATAGTACCACTGATGCTGATTGGTTA